AGATGGGGACCCTGCCGGCTCCAGAGCCCCTTGCGGGGTCGGCTGAGGTCTTTGCGGTGACTGCATCGCAGCCTGGCTTGCCCCCGGCCCAGACCTGCTTCCTCCACGCCCCTGATAGGAGTGATGCCAAGAGCACCCTTATACCCCACTCCTGCCATAAATTCCATGCACACTCATCTCCGTTTCAGAGTCCAGCTCGTGGGACTCCACCCAGGACCCCATCTCAGCCACTTCCATGGCTTCAACCCCAATTTCCCGCCAGGGGCTCCCGAGTCAATACCGCTGGCCAGACTTTTCTGCTCAGCACCAGATCCGAGTGGAAGTATTTCAAATTCAGCACATGTGAAACAGAAGTCACTGTTTTCCAAGGGGGACCACCTCCTCCTGTCTTCCATGGCCCTGTGATGGCATCTGCCCATGGCCTGAAGCCTGGGGGGGTGTGGTCTGTGGGCACCTTCTGTCCCTTCAGGCGTCCCCATCTCCCACGACAGTTACCTCTCCACATCACCCTCCGGTGCCACGGCGGCTCAGGCTCTCAGGACAGCACCCCTGGACGTCTGCCAGGGAGCCGGAGCTGGCTCCTTCCAGGCTCTCTCCCGTGTGACCCATCCCCACTGTGTCCAGCGGTGGCCTCTTCCTTCTAATGCACATCTGGCCCTGTCACTCCTCTGTTTAAAATCCTTCAGGCTTCTATGCTCAGGATGAAATTCAAACAGCACAGCCTGGTGTACGAGGGCTTTCGTGCCTACTTTCCCAAGCCTGCCTTCTCCCCGCCACGTCCCCGCACAGGCTTCCACACTCCAGCCATATCCCGAAACTGTGCGGCTACCCAAACCCGTGATGAGCATTTGTCTTGAACTTTTCAACGTTGGTTCCCTCTTCCTAGAGAAGGCTCTTCCCCTATCTTCTTCCTCCTCTTTGCCTGGTTGACATTTCCTCACCCCCAAGACTAGGCTCAGATGAGGCATCTCCTCTTCGGAGAGACCTCCGGATGCAGAGCCCTGGTTGTTGTTGCCCCTTGCTGACCCCTTGGGCTGTGAGCGTCGTGAGGACAAGAGCTGTGACTTTGCTCGCTGGGTCCTTGGACCCTGGCACGGAGGAGGGGCTTGGAGAGCATGCTTGTGGAGTGCTTGCTCCTGAAGGGCAGATTTCAAAAAGAGTAGAGAGAGTGAGAGCTTTTTAGTAAAAGATTCCAAAAAGAAAAATGGTTCAGGGGGGCTAGAGAGATCCTGCAATAAAACTTTGAATGTGGTTTGCAAATGGACCCAATGAGGAAAAATGCAGGAAGTATCTAGAGGTGCAGGGGCTGCACTCAGAGCTCATGCATGATCTCTGATCTTGAAAGATATGGAAGAGGGAAAGAAAGGGACGTGAGCAAGGCAAATGGAGAAATAGTACAGACCAGTGACCGTATTGGTGGGAAAAGCTAAGGCCCGTAGAAGGGGCTTCTGTGTAATTTTTGCTTTTTTTTTTTTTTTCTTTTGGCCACACCACGAGGTATGTGGGATCTTAGTTCCCCGACCAGGGGTGGAACCTATGTTCCCTGCAGTGGAAGCGCGGAGTCGTAACCACTGGACTGCCAGGCAAGTCCCCTGTGTAGTTATTTTTGAAGTGAGGAGTGCTGTTCTGGGCTGGTGGGGAAACGTTAACAGTGATGAAGAGAGAGCAACACCACGTAATTCCTGTTTTGCTTCTGTCTTCCTTGTCGAGGAGCATAATTTTTCATCTGAACTCAAATATTGATCAAAGGGAATTGCAGCCTAAGATATGGGGGGGAGACGGTAGGACAGCATCCAGCTGTGTGAAATGAGTTGAGGTCCCCTCCTGCAAAAGGATGTCTCAAGTCTGTCCTGGGTGACGTGCAGGTGGAGTGCCCTCACTCTGCAGAGACCTCGGGGGGTTGCGGGAGCTCCCGGGGCATGGGGAGGGAGGGTGCAGAAGGTGCTTTCTTCTCAGTGCTGCGGGCTTGATGTGTCCCTCAACAGAACTCCCCAGGGGATAGCTTGTGAGCACATACATAGAAAAGGAAACACTGCTTTCTAGGATTTCTAAGAATAAATCATACCAGACTAGCGTCATTTCGTTTTTGACAGGCTAACCAGAAGGGTACTCTGGAGAGGGCTGTCTGGGTTTTGTAGGGCCTTTGACGGAAACGATCGTCGTATCTTGTGACAACATAAAGAAACGTGGACTGAGCGATGTCAACTTAGATGGGCTCGTCACCCAGAAGTGCTGCTAGCCATCAGAATTGGCCTGGAGGGCAGGCCCAGGTGGCCACCCAGAGTTCCGTCTTCACTGACAGGTTGGCCAGCGCAGACCCTGGGTCTTGGACGAGGCCATTAATAGAACAATGGTCAAGTTCACACATAACATAAATGTAACTGACAGCAAATTGAAGATGCCGGAACATCTCAGCAGACCATAATGATGGGCTGAGTGGGAAAGAGAGGCCCAGCTGCACAATTAAGAACAGGATCCGGGAAATGGGATTTGACGGCCAGACGTGTGAACTAACTTTGGGCCCAATCTGTCAACGGCGTAGCATCTCGAGGCTGCCCCTAAAATGAGCGTCAGCCTCAGCTCTGAGTGCCTCTCTTGACGGGTATGTCAGCAACCCTGAGGAACTTCATAAGAACCAACCCAGAATGGCAAAAAGATTCCAAAGGATGGAAGAGAGTAGCTGTTGCACTGGGGGAGGGGTAGCCGTGGGAAGTTCGGCGACTTCCTTCAAGTACACGAAGGCCCTAATTAAACGGACGGATATGTGGGTACCAGGACATGAGACAGGGTGACTTTTAAGGTATCTTAAGCGTAGTGGTCTGTGGGTTTCCTCATAATACCAGAGAGAGAGAGAGGGAGGGAGGAAGGGAGATAGGAGGATGGAAGTTGGGTTGTGATCGTCTACATGAACTTTATTTACTAAGCAGTAGTAACCTTTTTATTTGGTTATACTGTGCATGCAGGAGAGGACACATCAGAGGTGGACACTGTACACTTTGCCAGGCGTCTGTGCAGCCACCACTGCATCACAGGCCAGAATGTCACCTGCTCCCCAGAAGGACCCTGGGCCCCTCCCAGGCATTCCCTCTGCAAAGAAAACCGCTTCCCCAACTTCCCTCCCGTAGGTGTGTTGTGATGGGTACCGGTGGCACCGGTAGATGGCTCCTTCACGTTGCCTGGTGGGACCCCACCGTGTGGATCTGAGGCTGTCTGAATCCCACCGTCTCTTCCTGTCTGCACTGTGTGTGCCCACACTTGTGAGTGTCCCAGCGGGTGTGGGGATGACTGGGCAGACGGCCGGAGAGTTTACCCTGACCTCTGAGCCCAGCTCCTTGTTCTTCCTGCTCAGGTGGCACATGCTCACGTGCAAGATAGGAGACTCCAGGGAAGGACTGAGGGGCGGGTGGCATGAGAGGCAGTCGTGATGCCTGAGAGGCGGCGTGGAGAGCCCGGGAGCGACGAGCCGGGCAGACGCCCTGGGGCCGGGTGTTGGGCGGCATTTCCACGGCGGAACAGGCCGCTGCCGTTGCTTCCTGAGCTGCCCTAGAGACATGGAAAAGGCCGTTCACGCCTTTGGCCAGATGCCTGGTGGCCTCTTAGAGCAGTTCAACCTCAGCAGAGCCCGGTTCCCCTCCAGAGGGGCTGCGGTGACCTGTGTGGTTGTCCTGACACCCTAATGGCCCGAGCTGGCAGGTGCCTTTGCGGTCCTCAGAGCACCCACAGGCTGCCCCTTGCAGGAGCTGGAGGCTGGAGGCTGGGGAGCAGAGCGCCTGCGCTCCACTTCCCGGCTCTGCTGTTGGTTTGGAAAAGTCATTTCCCAATTTCCCAGTGCCTTAGGCCCTCTGAGTGCTGATCCGGTGTCCTGGTCTTACAGCGGCCCGTCAGGGTGGCGGGGCAGGACTGAGGCAGAGAGGCCTGGCCTGGTGTGATTTCAGAGGGCTGGAGCCTGTTGCCTTATATGACACTGGCTGGCATGGCTCCAGTGGCTTCTGCACCCTCCTTTGTTCGCCTGGTTTGAGTTCCGGGGGGGCCTCGCCAGGTGGGCTTGGGCAGCTTCTGGGGGAGGACGGCCCGGGGCCAACCTCAGCCGGGCCACGGGCCCCCCTGCTTGCCCCCTGCACAGTGTGGGTGGTGTTTGGGGTGAGTCTTTGCTCCTTCCCCTCTGTAGAGTAAGTTCTCAGTGTGGAATGAAAAAGTGGTCCTGTTGCCTCTCCCTGTGTCCCAGCGGGAGCTGAGAGGGCAGGGGACTGTGTGTAGAAGGCAGGGAGAGCGGTCAGGATGAAAGGCGGTGGGCAGGCGGGGAGCACGCCGCCCTCAGATGTGGTTTCTTTTCATCCATTCACCCCCTCAGCGCTCCTTCTGATGCTTGTCTTCTATTTCTTTCTGGACAGCAGCTCTGTCCTGACCCACCCGGCCCACCTCTTCCCTTCTGGAACCACCCCCGGCTCTGCTTTGCCGGCCTGCCAGCACCCCACCCCCGGGTCGGCCACTCCGCACCCGCTGCGGGTAACAGCGCTCCCCAAGGCCCGGGTTTGGATTAATGAAGCCCAGATGCCGGACTGGGGACTCCGGCTGCAAGTTCTCACGTTGGAGCAGCAGCTCGGCTTGGAGGGGCCGTCTACCTCCCCCCGCCCGCCCCCTCCCCTTGCTCCTGGCCCAGCTGCTGCTGGGGCTCCCGGGGAACAGCTGGAGAGCAGGTTCTGGCGGCGGGAGCCCAGGGAGATACGCGGGTGGGGCTCCGGGAGAGGGGTCTGGTGCGGGGGCGGGGCGCCAGATGAGGGCTCCCTTGTTCTGTCCCGTGACGCAGTCCAGATGGGGCTGCCTCTCCCCAGGACTCGGAGGGTGGGTGGGAAAGCTGGGGCGCTCTGCAGAAAGGGAACCGGGGTCTCCGGTCCAGAATGGAAGGGCATGGCCAGCCCCTCCCAGGGTGGCCAGATAAAATACAAAGATCACATGGGAGAAACTCAGGCTAAAAAAAATTGTTCTTTATCTATAGGAAGTTCAAATTTAACTGGCATCCTGTATTTTTATTGGCTAAGTCAGGCAATCCTTACCACCCCCCAGCTGAACTTCTTCTTTAAGTAATAGTTTTATTGGACTGCAACATACAAACAGAACACAGACCGTGTGTGCTCAGTGGGTTTCCACAAGTCGAACACATGTAAAACCAGCACCCAGATCAAGAAATGAGGGAATTCCCTGGGGGTCCAGTGGTTAGGATGCGGCGCCTTCACTGCCAGGGCCCAGGTTCAGTTCCTGGTTGGGGAACTAAGGTTCCCACGAGCCACATGGTGCGGCCGAGTGAAAAGAAAAAGAAGAAGAAGAATTGAGACGTGAGCAGAGCCTGCCCGCCACCCCACCCCTGCCACGTATCCCCGTTTTTGTACTTAATGTAAGTGAAATCATACACGTGTATTCTGTTGGAACTGGCTTCTCTCACACAGCCCTGTGAGGCTCACCCGTGCTGCCGGATGGAGTCGTGGCTCATCCATAATCGTTCCACGTGGGCTTGAGGTGCGTGAGTGGAGCCCAGTCCCTCTATCCATTCTAGTGGCAGATCGGCGCTGCTCGTCCCCCTCTCTTTTCTCGTACGCCGTACGTGTGTGCCCGGGATTAGGACTGCCGGGCCGTGGGGCGGGCACGTGAACATCTTTATCTTTAGTAGGTCTCGCCAGGCAGTTGGCTGAGGTAGGTGTACGCATCCATGTCCCTGCCAGCTGTGTGGGAGTGTCTCCCCTCTTTCTCATGTTTACTCTTCTAGTACGTGATGCTGCTGTCTGATGCTGCTTTTTTCCCTTTTTTTTTTTTTTTTAATCAAGAGCCTCTTGCCTTGTTGATTCCTCTGATTTTCTTGAATAAGATCAACAAGGCCCCTGCTTCAGGTACCACCTACCCTCCTGGCTTGGAGGAGGCCATTCCCACCTCCGTTCCCCACCAACTGGGAGCCCCCCCTGCACCCACGTGAGGCCACGGCAGCCACAGGCCCTGGGGAAGTTGCAGGGGCGCCTTCAGCACCGCTCAGGCGGGGCTCAGTCCTGCTTCCCTCAGGTACTTCCTTAGGGAAACATCATTTCCGGGGGCTGCCTGTCCCTGATGTCCTGTCCTTTGTTTCCCCGTGGGGTCGTCCCAAGGATGGGGGTAGGGGCGCCTGTGGGGACCCTCCAGCAGTGTTGTTACCAGAGAGCATTTCTCCTCTACGGAGCCGCTTCCAGCCCACGTGGTGTCCTTCGTGTTCCTTCAGTTTCCGCCGGCTTCAGAACCTCTCCTTTGCTTCCCCTGGTGGTGGCTTTCCGCGGGAATCAGCGACTGTGGGCCACATCAGAGTCCGTGCCAGGGGCTGCCTTTTGCTGTCCGTGGGGGCAACAAGTGTGTGAAGCCTCGAGGAAGATGTAACCCTCCACCCCTTCTCCCATCGCCCCTCTCCAGCCTCTCCTGGCCACTGCCACCCCTAGCCCTGTCCTCTAGTCTCTACTTCCCTCCTCTCTTCTTTTTACTCACTCCAGCCCTCAAGGACCCATGAGAATCAGAGCCGCAAACATTAGCGTCTAAAATCCCCATGAGAGGTCTTTACTCCCGAAGAGTGGAGACACCAGCTCCATCCTGAGTGAATCAGTTAGGACTGTTTGGTGCTAGACTTAGGAGCCCGGCTCAGACTGACTGAAGAAGCCAAAGGGACTTCATCAGCTGAGCCGACCAACCCACTGACCGCACGGGTCCGGGGGCCGGAGGCTTCAGGCAGGGCAGGCTCTGGGTGTTGTCAGGGCTCTATCTCTGCTTGCTTCATCCTCCAGGCTGCCCCACAAAGAGGCAGGATGGCCACCAGCGACAGTGGGGTCACCTCCCACCTGATCAGTGGTCCTGCTGGAAAGGCACACGCTCTACCGGTAGCTCCAGCCAAGACCCCGAGGCCACCTCTCAGGGGCTCAAACACAGGGACTGATGGGCCAGGCCTGGCTCACATGCCCACCCTGGGAGCCGGGATTTGGGCCGGGTGTGGTGGGGGAGGGTTTCTCCGAAAGAAAGTCACTGGATGCTGGCTGAAAAAAACAAGCCCCGGTCACCCCCCTTCCACCACCCTGCATGGGCTGAAAGCTCATAATGCTGCAAGGGAGAGAAAAGGCGACGGTCTGCGCAAAGGAGGTTGAACGGTCCCCATATCTGTGTAGCACAAATATATAGAGGAAAAAACTAAGCCGATAAATACTACTATGCTAGCCTCTGAAGTTACCACTTCTTTTAAAAAAATAACTTTTTTCTTTTTGCTTATTTTTAAACTTTCCCATCTTGCATGTTTTATTACTTCTAAAATAAATAATAAACGCTATAAACCAAAGGAGAAGGCCAAAGTTCCCTACGTGGCTCTCCCCTGTTCACGTCTCGGTGTGTGTCCTGCCCCTCCTTGCACCCACCCTGGGGACTTAAATCCCCCCCCCCGCCAGGGTGGTACACCCCCTCAGTCTCTCTCGCCCCTTCTCTCACAGGCAGCTTCGACGCCAGCTCAGCCTCGTGATCATTGCCCGGCTGCTGGACCAGCAAGAGACGCTCCCTCTCTGGCAAGAGAAGGCCCAGGTGAGTCTCTACTTCAGCATCCGCTGGGGAAGCCCGGCTGGCTCCTCCCACTTCTTTTCCCAAAGGTTGGGAGCCTCAGGCTGGCGGAGTCCAGGTGAGTCTGAATTTTCTGCTCACATCCTTGCATTTGACGGTTACTTTTTGCACGCCTACTATGTGCTCGGCCCTGAGGATAGAGCAGTCAGCTGGGAGCAGGTATTACTTTTTCAAAAAATTGTGGTAAAATATACATAACATAAAATTTGCCATTTTAACTTTTTTTTTTTAACCTTCTTAACAGTTCTAAGGGCAGAGTTCTAACCATTTTGAAGTGTGCAGTTCCACAGTCTTGTGCAACCACTGCCGCCATCCACCTCCAGAACTTTTTCATCCTCCCAGAAAGTCTGAATCCGCTGAACACAACTCCCATTCCCTCCTCCCCAGCCCCTGCTTATATAACTTTTTATAGGTGGAAAAACAACAAAGTTCGTGAAAACGAACACTACTAAATTAACATTGCTCGCCCCCAGTGACCCTTCTGCCCCATGTCAGGCATTCTTGGGGCAGCAGGGGAGGAAGTGCCTTCTTACCTCCGCCCTCTGCTCTCCAAAAAGCTCCGACTGCAACCTCCTTGCAGCTCAGAGAGCGGTAGTTCAGGGGCCCTGGGGGCAGCATGGGTCACAGCCAGCCCAAGGGCAGGTGGCAGGGGGGTTGAGAATGCTCTCACCGGCCTCCCACCCCCCCCAGGGGTCTCCCTGGAACCCCAGAAGAGCAGCCGGGTGCAGCTGAGCCATCTAGTTCTACAGCACGAGACAGGCAAGGCAGTCCCGGTGAAAGGCTGCGTCTCTAGTCACTGGAGGTACACCGGGCAAGCCCGCGGCCAGAGCACTGAGAGGATGTTCTGGACGCTCCTGGGGCGGGTGGACCATATGTCTGAGTCTGAGAGGCCACGATCGCAGGGCGGGAGCTCAGAAAGGTGACCGCTTGGGTTGGCTTATCTAAGCAGGCCCGGCCTGGCTTTGCCCCGGCTGCCCCCTCTGCCTTCCATGCTTTCCCCAAGACTTAGGACGGCGTGAGTGTCTTCTCACCCCAGTTCCAGCTGAAGTGTCACCTTCCGCAGGAGGCCTTTGCTGACCACCCAATCCAAAAAGTGCCCTGGCACCAGCACACTCTGAAAGTATTCATGGTGCTCACCTCCTGATATATTTTTATTTGTTCAGGGTCTGTGTACACACACACACACACACACACACACACACACACACAATCAGCAGCTCCTTGAGTGCAGGGACCAAATGGTTTCTGCTCACTACTGCCCGTCAGCTCCTAGCACAGCACCTGACACACACAGGACCTCAGCACACACGTGTGGGCTGAAGGAACCCGAGGTTGAGTTCCCGGGTGTGCAAAGGAAGGTTCCCCAGGCAGAGACCTCGGGAGGGCAGGAGGGGAGGGTGGCCTGCTCAGGGGTCACTTCACAAAGGTGAGAGCCTGATGACAGAACATCTCTGCGAGAAAGAGAACAGAGGGGCCAAACAGTTAGGGGCGGGGCAGGCAGAGATGCACCAGCGAGGACAAGACAGAGTGATCCCAGGAGGCTCCCGGGGTGGGGGCAGCCTGGTAGACAGGCTTTGGTGTTGACCCGAGTGCGGCCACCGAGCTCCTCGGAGAACCCAACACATGTCAGCAGAGCAGAGGTGAGAGGCCAGAGTGTCGAGATCAGGAAAGGCAGGACTGGCTGCACGTGGTGGGTGGGGGTAGCCACCGTCCGTCTGGCAGCGCTCGGCAGCGATCAGGAAAACACAGGCTGGCTGGAGCATGAGGGTCAGTTCAAGGCTTGGGGTTTTGTTTTGATTTGTTTTTTATTAGCCAGAGCCTACGCAGGGGAGAGTGCGGGGAGCGTGATGAGGGCCAGAGAGTGGCGAGGGGAGTGGTGCCGGGGAAGAGCTGGGTGGTCTGGCCTGGCGGGGACCTGGAGGGGAGGCGAGTGAGCGGGGCTGGTGGGGGCAGGGCGGGAGGATGCCTCCCCCAGGGAGAGCTGGCCTGGGAGCTCCCAGCCCGTCTGGGACGGAGTCCAGCCCTGCCCTTGTGGGTCCCAGCTCCAGGGCTGTCCCACCACACCTGTCACCCACCTGCCCTCGTGCCTGCCGTGCGTTCGTGAGACCCCAGCCGAGCGCCTCCTGTGTGCCAGGCTCTGCACCGGCAGATGACCTCGGAGGAGAGGGTGTGAGCGTGAGAGAGGCAGGCCGAGGGCCCCGTGACTGACTCTGCCCGAGGGCAGCGAAGTGGCTTCCAGAGCCGTCCGGAGCCAGGTCTCGAAGGGCGCGTCAGTGCTCGTGCTGCAGGAAGGAGAGAGGCGGCAGGCGGGCCAGGCAAAGCTGCGCCAGACCCGCGGCGGCTCAAGGGGCAGACGTGCGGCTCGAGCCCGCCCGCTGTCCTCCTGATGTGCTTCCCCGTCCCCACTGCAAGCCCGCGGCTGCTGCACGGCCTCCTGCCAGGTCCCTGGGCCGCAGGCGCTCCAATTTCCAGTCAGGCCTGCCAGGCGGCTCCTTATGAGACACGCCTTCAGAGGGCCACCTTGGCCCTGCAGCCGCCCACGTCAAGCCCCCACGCCCCGCTTTCCCCACACCTCCTCGACCACGTGGCTGCCTGGGCCCTCCTCGCAGGCCAGCCCAGCCACCCTCTGCACGTGGCTTTGTGCCTGGGGCACTTCTTCCTTGCCACCCGTTACATCCCACCCGAAGTGGTGGCTCTAACGTGCTGCAGAGCATGGCTGAGCCCCGGTGCGGGACAGATGGGGAAACGGAGGCAGGCACGGTTAGGAGACTTCTCAGGGTCACGCAGTGGGAAAGCCGTGGAGCCAGGATGCAAACCCAGGTGCCCTGACTCCAGAGTCCGTGCCTGGGACCCCTGCAGTGTGCTGTCTCTGCTTCTCCAGCCCCTTCCTTGGATCCTGTTGTGGTGACGGCCTGGACCACACCTGCTACTTCAGCTGAGGTGCCCGGCTGGTCCCTTGAGCTTTGGTCCTGGCTGGCAGATAGGAGGACAAGGGCCAGCCCTTCCTTCATCCATGCATAAGTGCTTGATAAACCTTAGCAATTGATTTACCGTGAAGGGGACTTCAGTGGTTGAGAATTGGCTCGTCGAAGGAGAGGATCTGGGGTGAGTGCCCAGGCAGCGGGTTCTCAGGGCACCGCTGGGCAGGAGGAGTCCCCGATGCCTGGATCGCTTAGTTCTCCATCTCAGGCTGCAGCCAGAGGCCCCAGGAGCAGGTGCTGAAGAACTGAATTTGAGGGACAGGACTTCTGTAGGTGGTGGGGATGCAGCAGCTCCAAGGCTTGCATCTTCCAGGAGAGCCTCAGGTTCAAACTGCTTCCTTCGTGTTGTTCCTGCGGATCATGGGAATATCCCAGAAACAGCAGGGTTTTGGCCCCAGGCACCAGTGTGCTCCAGACAAGGGTCAGGGCACTGAAGATACAGCCCTGAACAGCGTTCAGTCTCCTTCCCTCATGAAACTCAGCAGAGACAGACACAGGCACCAAGAAAGAAGTAAATCTTTGGCATTCCAGATGGTGATAAGTGCTATGGAGAAAAATAATGCCAGATAAAGAGGAGGGGGAGTGTTGGGGGGATGCTGTTTTATAGGGGTGAACAGAGAAGGGGACATTTGAGCACCGACCTAAAGGAGCCACGCAGGTTTCTTGGGGAAAAGCATTCCGGGCAGAGGGAACAGCCGGTGCAAAGGCACTGGGGCAGGCAAAGGCCTCTCAGGTTGGAGGCAAAAGGAGAGGCTGGTGTGGCTGGAGCAGAGGGCTGAGGGTGGGTAGGAGGAGCTGAGGTCAGAGGTAAGTGGGGACTCAGGTGGGGGCTTGACTTTCATGCCAAAGCGGAGAGCCACTGGAAGGTTTTGATTAAGAGGAGGGACATAATCTGATTTATAAATTTTTTTACAATTACACTGGCTGCTGTGTTGAGACTAGACTGTTGAGGGTGGAAGGAGGCAATTGCAGTAATCCTGGCAACAGCTGATGGTGGTTTGGCCTGGGGAGATGGCGGCGCACGCAGGTGGTGAGCAGTGGTGAGATTCTAGGTGTATTTCCCAAGTACAGCCAGCGGGATGTGGAATGGGAGAGAAAGGAGGCGAGGAGGCCTCCAAGACCTATGCAGCTGGCAGAATGGAGAAGCCCTTTACCGAGACAGGCAAGACACAGGTGGAACAGGTTTGGAGGGAAATCGGGAGTTCGTTTCTTATCCCAGGCCACCTCTTACAACACAGCAAGCCTGCTTTGTCAAGCCACGCCTTCCAGTTTGGAGATTGGAAAACACGGGCTTCGAATGGCCAAAATCAAGGGAGACAGAGTTTTGCATCTACTATGGAAAGGCCAGCTGCAGACCTGACCTGCTATTCGTTCATTTGCTCATTTAACAAATGCTTATTAAGCATATACAATAGTCCCTGCTATCCGCGGGGGATACAGTCCAAGATGTCTAGTGGGTGCCTGAAATGATGGATAGTACTGAAACCTATATATGCTATGTTTTTTTCCTATACATACCTACCAATGATAAAGTTTAATTTATAAATTAGGCACAGTAAAAGATTAATAACAATAACTAATAATGAAATAGAACAATTATAACAATATACTGCAATAAAAGCTACGTGAGTGTGGTCTCTCCCCATCAAAATATCTTATTGTCTAAACTTGATGCCTTTTTCATCATAACTAAGCCCTTATCATGCACTGTGGCCATAACTTTTACATTTTGAGATGCAGTAGCAAAACCAGCATGGGTTTCTTTTTCCTTCTTCACAATTTCACGGATAGGAGATTTGTTCTTACTGTAGATCTTAGCAACCTCAGCATATGATTTTTTTCCCTTCCTTCTAAAGTCCAGAACTTTCACCTTGTCACTTAAAGGAGGCACTTTACGGCTTCTCTTTGACATATCTGAATTGCCAGCATCACTACCCTTGTGCATTGGGACCGTTATTAAGTAAAAGAAGGGTTACTTGAGCACAAGAACACAAGCACTGCAATACTGCAACGGTCAATCTGATAACTGAGACGACCGCCCAGTGACTAACGGGGTAGGATCCGCTGGGCACAGGGACATTCACCTCCAGGGAGGAACGGAGCAGGACTGCGCGAGACTTCATTACGCTACTCAGAAGGGCGCGCGCGATTGAAAACTTACAAACTGTTTATTTCTGGAATTTTCCATTTCATATTTTCGGATCTCGGTTGACGACGGGTATCTGAAACCGTGGAAAGTGAAACTTCGGATAAGGCGGAACAACTGTGCCATGTGCCAGGTGCTGTGCAAGGCTCTGGGGACACTGTAGTGACCCAAAACTGTCCTCACGGAGCTTACGTTCTAGTGAGGGGCAGGCGACAAGTAATAATAAACATAACAAACAAGAAAATTACATAGCACGTCAGAAGGGGTGCTTGCTGCCGGGTAGATGGGCGGGCAGGTGTGTGTGGAGGGGGCTCACTGGGAAGGTGGGCCCGGAGGAAGGCTGGAAGGCGGAGGGGGTAGCTGCGCAGTGTCCGGTCAGAAGGCCCAGGCAGGGCACAGGCTCCAGGGAACAGCAGGGGCCACCCGGGGCCTCGCAGACATTTAAGGTGCTGGCCTTCTCCGCTGGGCCGATAGAAGCTGCTGCTACCGTCTGAGCACAGGAGGGACCGCCGTGTGGACAGTTGCCTCGCTGGGACTGTCTGCCACCTCTTGCCGCACAAACCGACAAGGCCAGCGGAGGCCTGCCTTTTCGGGTGATCATTTGCTCCTTGCCTGGGGACGTCTGTCCTAACAGGCTGAGTGTTTGCAGAGACGGCTCCCAGCGGTGGGGGTAAAGTGGGGAGGCTTGCTGGTCAGAGCCTGGCCCTGCTGGGACCCACGCAGCCCAAATAAGTCCTGACCGCGAGGAGAAGGGTGTGTCTCCCAGGGAGGGGATGACTGCGGCTGCCAGAGCTGGGAACAAAAGAGAACAAGCAATCAGAAGGCAGCAGCTTGCTGTGCTGAGCAGGGTGAAGCTGTTTTCACAGAGGGAGAGGAAAACCATGGGAGCAGCCAGCCGCTGCTGTGTGCTCCCCGGCCCAGCCCGGCCCGCCCAGGGCTCCTAGCAGGGAGGGTCCCAGCTGGGGCGGGGCTGCCTGCCGAAGGGCTGCTTCTGGGGGCGTGGGCTGCAGAGCCCGCTCCTGTGCTTGCACAGCTGTGAGCCCTGAGCAGGCAGGGCTGTTTTGGAAACTATCGCCAGACTTGGAAGGCCTGAGCAAGGCGGCACAGCTCTGGTGTCGGTGGAGCTCTAGATGGTGCCTCTCTTCGCCCAGAACCTTCCCCCTCTCTCTCTCCCTGCCTCCTGCTCTCCCTCTCTGAAGGGATCAGACGCTAGGCCAAGAAGCCCTGGCCCCCTTCCAGGAGCCGAGGCCCCGGGCCTGACTCCTCGCCCTCACTCAGCCCAGCTGCTCTTGTGGGCTTTCTAAGCCCGTGGCTGGCCGAGGTGCTGAGCAGGTGTCTGCGGGTGAGTCAGGGGGAAGAAGCCAGGTGTGCCAGCTCGGGCAGGGAGCTGGCCCAGAGGCTTAGCCCTCACCCTTTGGGCCAGCCTCCACCTGCTACATCTAAAGACACAGTGCCTCTGTGAACTCCCCTGGCCCAGCTCTTTCCTTCTGCATCCTCCCTCCCCAGGATTACAGGTGGCCTCAGAGGGGCCCAGGGCTCAGAGACTGCCTGCCTCCTGAAGCCCCGGCCGTGAGTTAGCTCTGGGGCAGCTGGTGGTCCTTGCTGGGGCCCACCCGAGGCTGCCCAAACCAGGTGCAGGGTCTGGGTGGGAAGGAGTGGCTGGATGCAGACACCTGGACTTATGCAGGCCACGTGCCCCCATTTGTTCAGAGATGGGGGGTAGGGCAGCTAGCAGATTGGGTGATATAATACATTAACCAAAGGGCAGTGTGTGCACCTCGCGGGGAATCCCATTCCAACAAAGCAACTGCCTAAGGACATTTTTGAGACAATCGGAGAAAACTGAACACAGGTGTTTGATCGTGTAAGGAATTCTTGGTAATTTCGTTGGGCAAGAGAATGGTGTGATTATGTTGGGGAAAAAAATCCTTATCCTTTTCTGTTTGAAGCTCTTTGTGGGGAAAATGATACGGTGTTCGGATTTGCTTTGAAATTCTCTGGAGGAAAAAGGCGGAGGGGGGCTGGGGGTGATGAGCGTAGTCATCATTCACGTTCACAGAGATGAGTGTGGAGGGAGTTCTCAACCCCTCTTCTTCCAGGAGTGTTGAAAACGCCCGTGGTAAGAAGTTAAATGACAGTAGAGGGCCAGCAGGCCTGAGCAGCAGCTCAGGGTGGGAAGGTCTTGTCCTGTGGCAGAGGAGACCCTCTTCTGGTCTTGGTTCTTCTAAGCCCTGAGTGTCTGCTCAGTCCCGGGATGTGGGTTAAGTCCTCCTCATTCACTTGTCTAAAGGATGCATGCCCTGCGAGCATGAGAGCCTCTTCTCCCGGGAAGAAGGGGTGTGCTTGTCTCCATTTCACAGATGGGGACAGGCTCCAAGAGGCCACATGGCTCCCAAGGGAAAAGGCGCCCCCAGGTCGTGGAGCCAATGGTGTGGCTCCAGAGCCTAGGCCCTGACCCATGCCTGCCAGCTGGCGTGTCCCGGCCATGCGTCCCCGAAGTGCCCCAAGCACTCGTGAGTTATGGCCGCCCTTCTCTCCCCAGCTGTCCTCGCTCAGCCATCTCCTGAGCCTCATGAGGCCATCAACCCTGGGGCAGTACCTGGGCCCCGAGACCATGCCGCCCGGCCAGGAGAAGCAGCCAAAGGCCAGTGCCCAGCTAGACCACAAGGTGAGCACCCAGCCCCTGCCCGCCTCTGCCAAGGCACCACCCCAGGGTAGCAGGGAAGGCTGGGCTGTCCACAAGGCACAGCCTGGGGGCCTTAAGGCTGCCCGTCCCGAAAGCCCGGGGCCTCGGGGCAGGGCCCAGCCAGCTACTCCTGCCCATCTCCCCAGAGCCTGTGCCCCTCACGGAGGCGCAGTGGGCACAGGCGTGCAGGCTTGTGAGTTTCGCTGTGGCCTTTGCGGCCTGGCGTGGCTTTGCCAGCCGCGTTAGAGAGGACGCAGGAGCTGAAGCACTGGCGAGGGGAGTGGGGTGGGGAGGGAGTGCCATAAAGGAGAAGCCCAGGGAATGTTCAGATGCACGAGGCCCCACGTTTCCTGAGAGTGGAGCTGGGTGCAGCTCCCTGTTGCTATTTCCCGTGGTCCTCACTGAGGCTGAGTCCTTGGCCTTCCCCCAGTTCTTCCTAATTGACTTTCCAGACGTCGCCCAGCTTTCCTGGAAGCCATGCTTCGGCGGCAGTCAGGGGCGACAAGGTACCCCAGAGCCTGCCGGTTGTGGGGCTTGGAATGGTCAGGCCTGTGACCGCCGGGGGTGAATGTCAAGCAGGGGTGGCGGTGTAGGGGCTTCAGCCTGGGAGTCCCAAGCCTGGCTCCCTGGGGGGTTGGGGGATAGAGCTCAGTGAGCTCCCCCATCCCTGGGGACTCAGGGATGAAGGATGCAGATAGGCATCTTGCTAATTTAGGAAGGCGGTAGTTCCAAAAAGCTTACCCGGGGGTTGGATGTTGGATGTTGACATCCAGAAGGCCAGCCTTTGGGCATCATTCTGCAAATCAGATGTAAGTGAATTAATTACAATGAATACAAATGAACTGTTAAGAAGATATGACAACCCCCAGGTGTACGCTCCTCTCCTGGAACTCGCAGGAAAGGTTATCTCTCAGTTGTGCCTAATGTCGGTGAGTTTACGTGAGCTGTCCCCGGGCCCTGTTCCCCTTTGCCGGCTATTTCCCGTGAAACTGGAGCTCGTTACGGAGGCTAAGTCTGGGTGTTCCGGGGGCTCTGGAACAGAGGTGGGGTCAGCCCCTGGGGGTGGTCCGTCTGCGCAGGACACAGGTGCGCAGGCCCCAGGTCTGGGCTGGGGGAAGGGAAAAAGAGAGAAGGGGAGGGGCGAGAGAGAAGAGGAGGCTTGTGTCTGGTCTGACCAAGGAAAAGCTGCCCTCCAGGCCCCTGGGGCCACCTCTGGACCTCGCCTCAGTCTGGTAGCAGATGTGCCTTCAACAGCCTGGGAGGCGAGGGGAGTAAGTGGGCTGAGGGTATCCTTTTATATTTGAGGACTGTTCTCGTGCATGTAAAGGAGGCTGTGAAGTGTCAACCCCGGTCGGCTGCATATTGGAAATGACCCATTTGGCCTGGAAACACGAGGGGCCGGTGTGTCTTGGCCGGGTGCTGGTACAGGGCAGCAAAAGAGGCAAGTGAGGCCCGGGCAGCTCTTAGATGCTTTGCTGCAGCTCGAGCCTGCTGGGATTAATCCTGCTCCGAGGTAGCCAAGAGCAGAGGAGGGATGTGGAGGGGTGGGGCTGGTGCGGGCACAGGGCAGCAGTCTGCACAGCGATGCGGAGCATCCTGTCCCCCTGGGCCAGGTACTCTCCAGACCGGGAGGGCCGGGTGGGGCAGACGACTGGACTTCCGCAGCCCAGCCCCACTCCCCGCTGAGCCCACGGACTCCTCATTAGGGCCCAGGCGTGTTTCATCTTCAAAGATGATCGGGCTACTCACTGGCCGAAAAGAGCGGGGGCGTCATCTGCCCTGCTTTACAGGGAGTGGTGGTCTGGGCTGGCCGAGCCTTTTATCCCTAGAGCTCGAAGTCTTTGCCTTCTTTCTGCTTGGGGTGCAGCGGGGAAATTAAGGCCGGAGTGAGGTTGGCCTGAGGCGACCCAGCCTGGAGGAAATGGGGACAGGCCCTTCCCAGCGTTTGGGGCAGCCCTGCCGGGCCCCGCCCCCAGGCCCCTCACTCCTGTCTGGGAGATTTCCTGCCAAGACTGCTGGGTCGCAGCCCTCCTCCAGCTCTGCAGATAAACACTTCTGCCAGCCTCCGCTCCCCGCCCCCCCTCCTGTCTCTGCCTAGGGCCTTGGCCCAGGCTCCTCCCTCCCCCAGGAAGCTCCCAGCCTTCTTCTCCTGGTCCTGCCTTCTCCGGAGGCTGGGTGCTCCCTGCCCAGGGTGTGACTCTTCTCTCCTCACTGATCCCGTGGCTTTGCAGTTGTCCATTGACTTGTCTGTCTCCCCAGCTAGACTGTGGGCACAGCTGGTGTCTCAGCATCGCGTGCTGTGTTGGGCGCTAGATGGTTGAATGAGGGCACAAATGAATGAATGCAATTGTAATTCTCCCGCTCTGAACTCTCTCCTTCCACCCCATTCTGGCCCTCCCACCCCTCTGCTGGAAAGCACCCTCCCTCTGCACGCCCTCCACCCTCAGACCAGCCTCTGTGTATAGGCCCCCTTGTCTCTTGATGTCCTTGTTTCATTAAGGCTACAAGGGTTGATGGCCTGGGCTTCTCCTGTTGGAGGCCCTTGACTTCGGAAGTGTCACCTGCTTATGAGAGAACCAATCACAGCCATTGTTTGTAATTATAAGCTAGTGAGATTCCTGCCTGAGAAAGCTAACCACCAAGTTCAACAAAAGAAGCAACTTGCTCCTTCTGCAACACTGCAGGGGGTAGGGGTGGGATGGGAGGCGGGAGGGGGCTGGTGGGGGCGGGTTCTGTCCTAGCTCAAGAGTCACAAAGTGTCCTAGCAAATCAGGGCAGAGCTTGTGTGGAAAATCGGAATCCTGCTTCTGAACGGGGTGGTGAGAGTACTTTGAGCATTTTAAAGTGCTTTTGGCTAAAGAAGCTGCTCAGCCCCTGGGTGATTTTCGGCAGCCCTGTGCTTGCCTGGTTTCCCAGAGGAGAAGGAGCATCGAGGTGAGAGTGACGCCGGGGGGCCTGGGGCTGCCCTGCGAGGAGCTTGCGCCCCGCGTGTTTGAGAGAGGTGGGCGAGGATGTCTTAATTCAGGCTTGTACTCTGAGAGTTGGCCTCCAGGTGCTTCCCTCTGGCCCATGGGTACCAATTCTGCAAGAGGCCAGCTCCTTCCCAGGCTTCCGTGTGTGTGTGAGGCTGTCCTTTCCGCCTCTGTGCAAACATCTTGTAACTGGACTCTGTATTTCACTGTCTCCTCAAAGCAACGAGCTCAGCCGTACAGCCCAGAACCAGGGGTTTCCTGGGGACTTTCTGTTTTCTTTTAGCTGACTTGCCTAAACCATATTTGCCCAGACTTAACTCATTTTTATCGAGATGACTGTCTTGTTAAACCTCTGTCGCGTGTGACGTTCCTGTTGACCACACTTCCCTACCCTTCCTGACTTCTCCCTGGCCTTCTGCCACATGGATGCTACAGTGAAGGAATTTTGGGCTCTGTATTTCCCCTAGGGATTTGGAAGGTCTGTAGAACCAGGATCTTTATGGTAGGGTGGAACTTTTCCCCCAGTTTGGTTAAATTTGGGAACTTTCAGGAAGTTAACCATCTCTCTTTCCATTGTGTGGGAAGAAAACTAAGGCCACGGAGGGGGATGTCCCAGCATTGGGGCTGCACCGAGGCACCAGCCGCTTCTGTCTCCTCCTCTGCCCCTTGGGCACGCCCTCCTCAGAGCCCGACAGTGCCCTCACGGGACAGACAGCCGGGGACCCACGGAGGGTTCTGCATCTGTGATGGGCCCTGACCCCCCAGGGCCCAGCCGCAAGAGGCCACCCCACCCAGACTGAGCCTGGCAGCTGCAAGGGGCTCCCATCGGCTTCCTCACCATGCACAGCCTCCCCATGCACGTGGCCTGTGCTCCCGTCTCCGTGCTCGTGAGGCTTGTTTATAGGAGAAGTGCATGTGTGAACAGGGAAGGGGCGGGGTGTGCTCTGGGCTTGGCTGAAGCTCGGGGTGAACCCCGCCCTGCCTCACAGATTCCTCTGAACTCACGCCTGGCGTCTCTGCACATCTTCTGCAGAGGGCACGGGACTGCCGCGCATGTGTGTGTGTGCACGTGTCCGTGCGTGCGTGTTGTATGTTGTGTGCATCTCCTGTATATCTTTATGGTGTGCCTGTGTGTTAACAGAGTTGACAAACAAGTTTTACTGCTTTTACTCCTGCGCTGGCCTGTCCCTGTGTCGGGTGACCCTGCCAAGAGCTGCCTTACGTGACTGGGTGTGGTTGGGGAGTTTGGGGCTGCCCTCCGGCTCTCTGCACCCGCCTCTGTGCCCTGCACTCTCCCGCTGCCACTTGACACCAACATGGGGACGTACACTCCCTCGGGCTTGGCTGGGGCACAGGCTCCTGGCCCTCGTGTCACCTAGAAGGACAGGTGGAGCAGGAAGCCCTCCCTCTCCCTCCACTCTCTGCCTTCTCCCCTGAGCTGCCTGCCCCTTGCCCCGCACCTTAGGGAGAGCCACGCCCACAGGGCTGGGGGCCTTGGTCAGGCCAAGATTAGGAGGACTGGTTTTGAAGAATGGACAATGGCTATTGAGGACCCCTGAGTTCCTCCTCTGGCTAGTCTGCGTTGGGTTCCTCCTCACTTCCTCCAAAATGAGGAACAGCTGACATCTTTGGAAATAAACTTCGAAGAGGTGACCTCTGGGGAGGTGACCTCTGGGTAGCTGACCCTAAAGGGAGATCCGTGCCCCAGATACACATCACAGCCACCTGAGTGGCCGCTGAGCCCCTTCACAGTGGGTACCTCTGAGCATCTGCAGGCACATGGGGCCGGGGGCCCAGGCCAGCTTTGATCGACTCCCAGGAATTCTGGCTTCTTTGCAGGTGTACGAGCAGGGCTTAAAGTGATGCTGTTGAGCTGCGGAGGAGAGGCTTAGATGCTGCAGGGAACTGTTGTTGAAGCCCAGCCAGCCCGAGTCCTCGGCAGCTCTGGCCTGCCCTCTGCCCTGCCCCACCCCAGGCTCAGTCCTCCTAAGGACCCTTCAAGGGTCCCTC